TTCAAGACATTTATTTGACTTACACATGTGTGCCGTCGCAGGCGATCGCTTGGAGTTTTCTCTCGCATGTGTGGAGCCCTACTAGCCTAACGGTCAGATCATCCTGAAGGACCCAACACATTTTGCTTCACTGGTGACTATTAGCGGTTTGACGTGATGGGACCAGAGGGTCTTTCCACTTGAAACAAGACAAGTATGAGCCATGAGCAATACCGGTTTTGCCGTCCCAGGGCCAACAGCACGGAGGATCCTCCAATGGCAAAGAGGTGCTGGTGGGGGGGCGTCACGCATGATATTGATAATTTTCAGATGTTTTTGGTGGATGGTCTAAGTCCCCAATCTTTGGAGCTTTGAGTTTGGCAGCTCTTTATTGGCACCTCTCTTCAATGCGGTATGGCAGGCGTTCAACGCCTGGAGCCTTTTCCAAATTGCTGGAGCCTCAATGCATCTCAATGCTGCAGGACTTGCAACAGGATATGGTGCCAATATTACGCAACTGAATCCTACTGCCAAACGGTGAACTTAGTGTTACACTATTCACACTTAGGCAAACCTCGGAGGAGTTGACCCCACCTCTCTCGGATCAGGTTTGAATGGGCTTGCAAGTCAAGTGCAGTGAGAAGTGGCCTTTCTTTCACAGAAGTGAACAAAATCTCAGGTTTGTGTCAGCAGTATCATTTGTGGTGGTCAAGCTCTTTCTTGTTTTTTGACATCCATTTGCATCTCGACACTGGCCCATTACAGTCCCTGGAAGGGACGAAGGGGATGATGACCCCCCGCTTTTGCCCTGCAAGGAGCTTGCTCCTAGTCAACTTGTCCGTCTGAAATACAGACTGACCCTCAATTACACACATAGTAGCACTTCCACTGATAAAGGTTGAAAGCACGGTCACCCTTGGTTCTGACGTGCAGTGTGACAGTCCCAAAATAGTATTTCCGCAGGCAAAGAGCCTGCTGATGCCTCAGCTGAATGCAGGTTTCGAAAGATGTCCTATAGATGTACTGCAGTTCTGTTTGTCAGATGCTCACTTTAGATTCCTTGTTCCTTTGAAGTGATTTCAAACGCACTCTCTAACCCGCGCAATGTTTGGTCCTGCCTCAACACACCTTCATCACTTGACATCCAATCCTGGCAACTCTTTTGCAAGGTCATTGGGTGAGAGTGAATGCGAGGCACTTGAGTGAGGAAGAACAGTGAAGCATGATAGAAATGGGATATAAATATGCATATGCCTCTATACATATATACTATACATACATACATATACATATATATATGTATATGTATATATATATAAACATAAATACACACACATAAACACATACACACATACACACATACACACATACATGCATACACGCATACACGCATACACGCACACACACGCAGACACGCATACACGCATACACACATACACATGCATGCATGCATACACACATCGAACGAATCGCTCGATCGATCGATAGAAAGATAGATAGATAGATAGATAGATAGATAGATAGATAGATAGGATACATGCATACATGCATACATGCATACATGCATGCATACACACACACACATACATACATACATACATACATACATACATACATACATACATACATACATACATACATACATACATACATACATACATACATACATACATACATACATACATACATACATACATACATACATACATACATACATACATACATACATACTACATACATACATACATACATACATACATACATACATACATACATACATACATACATACATACATACATACATACATTACATACATACATACATACATAAATACAAACATACATACCTACATACCTACATACCTACATTCCTACATTCCTACATACCTACATACCTACATACCTACATACCTACATACCTACATACCTAAATACATACCTACATACATACATACCTACATACCTACATACCTACATACCTACATACCTACATACCTACATACCTGCATACCTACATACCTACATACCTACATACCTGCATACCTGCATACCTACATACCTACATACCTACATACCTACATACCTACATACCTACATACCTACATACCTACATACCTACATACCTACATACCTACATACCTACATACCTAGATACCTAGATACCTACATACCTACATACCTACATACCTACATACATACATACATACCTACCTACCTTCCTACCTACCTACCTACCTACATACATACATACATACATACATACCCTACCGTAGCATAGCGTAGCGTAGCGTAGCGTACCGTACCATACCGTACCATACCATACCATACCATATCATACCATACGTACATACGTACATACGTACATACGTACATACGTACATACGTACATACGTACATACGTACATACGTACATACGTACATACGTACATACGTACATACGTACATACGTACATACATACATACATACATACATACATACATACAGACTCACACACATATATAGGCAGCAAAAGTGAGTGGCAGCTTCCTTATATATATATACACATACAACTCAGCACCAAGGATTTCAAAAGTATGAGACACCCTAGGGCCTTTCCCATTGTACCTCTTGGTCTTGGCTTCCAACAAGATAGTATGAATGAATAGGTTTCTTTTCAGTAAATTCGACATCATATATTATTTTTGCAAAGCTGTCTCGACCAAGACTCTTGATTGAAAGGCAGCTGTGAGGAAACCGACTGGAATCAATGCTGGGCACAGTTGGGACATGTAGTTTGGACTTGGGACTGGGCCTACGGCCAGACCCGTTTGGGTGATGAGACAGATGATGCTCCCCTGCGCAAGATTCTCAGCTGTGGCCACCTTGACATCAGTCATCGTGGTTGCGATTCTTAACTCGTTGTCTTATGTTTTCATTCCAAGTCGTCTGAAGATTGCTATATATATATATATGCTTCCAGTATCTTCCAGTTCAGTTGTCCCCAGGGACTGCACTTTTTTCCATGAGTGACGTGGACCAGGAGAATCATGTTTCACCAGTTGACATCCTACCTTTCACAAGTTTGCATTTCAGTTGCGTTTGTTTGTTGTCTACGTTCTTTTCTTCGAGTCAAGCCCCAAAAATGATGAACGAACACCAGATGAGCAAGCAAGATGGTGTGAAAGCTGAACACCAGCTATTTTTTGTTTGGAGGTCCAGAAGGGTGTAGACGGAACAAATTTGAAACAACACGCAGGCACACTCATGACTCACGACGTATCACAGGAGATGTACAGCAGCGCAGAGGGCCTGCTGAATCAGGCGAAGTGGATATGATCAAAGGATGGTATGTACTCGATGATCATCCGCAAGATTTGGCTTGTGACTGCCAGGTCGACTTGGAAGAAGCATACGAAGATGACTGGACGGTGTGCAACCAAGAGTCTGTTGTGGGGGTGTTTTGTTTTATAATGTTGTATTATGTTGTATTTCTCCTCATTTCTCCTGATTCGCGGCTTCTCTCCACTCAACACTGATTTTCTGAGGTGCAGGCAGGCTTAACGCGACATTTCTCCCCCCGAAGCGACGACGTTCAGCGTTCTGTGGAGGTCATGGGATGATTTCTGACAGCAGGGGCTCCATTGGGTCCATACTCTGCCGGCCACAAAGCTCTTGATTTGATCATATTCTATTTATACATATATATATAATATATATAATATATATATAATATATATATAATATATATATAAATAATTATATATACAGTATAATCATATGTCATTCATGATACTCATGACATCATATTCATATTTCAAGCTTCAACACATGTGGACTTGTCCTTCCTGGTGCAGATTGAAGATGGCTATCCTTTGGAGCCAAAGTGGTCCAGTCAACTGCGCGCGCCCCAGAAACCAATCTGCAGAAGGTCTTATTTTTTCCTCTCTCTCTCTCCATAGTCTAAAATAGTTTGGGCCTTGTTTCGAAACTTTGACCTGGATCGCATCTTCCACCACATGATTTCATGGAATCCACTCCGCAGAGAGAGATACTGGGATGCCTTCAAGGTTGAAAGGTATAGCCAAAGAAAATAGACAGAACTTTCCAGTTGTTCTTTTCTACGATGGTTGCTAGCGAATTTATCTATGAATATATGTCCGATGTGCAGCTGTCAAGAAACAACATGACTGAAAGGCGGGAGCAGAAAATCTTGGAGGTTGTTGGATGAGTGCACTCGCGGCAAATGCAATGATGTAGATCCTGCTGGCATTTCACTGCGTCGCAGAACTAATGAATATTTTTTCCAGATGAGTCCACAGCAGGATCTGCGAAATGTCGGAAATGTTCAAATTTAGATAGGCTGCAATAGGCTGCAACTTGCTTTCCCACTTGGTGTGCCAAAACGATTGCTATGAACACGGCATCCTGGCGATTGGTTTTGAGTCTTTTGAGAAAAGGTGTAGGGCGAATCAGCGAGTTGAGCGGCGTTCCAGTGGAAACTCCCTCCAGGTTCAGGATTGACATCCTGAGCGAAGCTCCAGGAGTCTTCCCATTTTGGTGCCAAAATGCTTAGTTGGGGCAGTTGGGCTGGTGAGCCTGGTGAGCTTGGTGAGCACTCGTCTTTTACCCGTGGCCTCAGGGAAGCAAGGAATGTGGCAAAGTTTGCTGACCTAGCAGGAACGTTGTGCAACTTTAACATGTTTCTGCGCTATTTGGTGATTATTTTGTTACCTTGCACCTTCATGTGGATAAATGCCTTTGCTGTCACTATTTGCTCTGTAGGCTCATCATCTGAAGCATTGAACAATTTGGCTTTCAACCAATGAAGTAGCTCCAGTCCAAACGTGGTTTGGATTCAATGACTCCAGCTACATCCTTGTCAAACTGGAAGTGACTGAACCATTTTTGCTCTTTCCCCCCTCTCTCTCTCTCTCTGCTTTGTCCGTCAGAAACCAAGATCATATCCGGATTTCAAGGAGTTGAGTTGTAAAAAATAAAGAAAAGTTGAGTTGTAAACTTCTGCTCAGCACTGAGTCACTGTTCAGCATCGGCGCGCCATGGAGCCGAGCGATGACGGCATGCAGCCTGTGCCGCCTGGACGGCCCAAGCAAAGCTGGAAATACAAAGCTGCAGATGTCGCTTGTTCAAAAATGTTCAAAACGCTGGATGAATGTTTACCGAGTACTCAGTTCACTGTAAGTGGTTGGAGATGATTTCCCCATGAGAATGCTACGATAGCTATCATCAACAGGGTTAGAAGACCGAAGAACACGGAATATGCATGAATATGCAATACTGAAAGTGGTGAACCACCTAGAAAAGACGATTTGAAATTGGCTTACTTAATGTGATGATGTGACTGTGATCGCTCGGTGAACAATGAAGCGCCAGCAGGAAACCACTGTCACAAAGTAATCTCCTGCGAGATTTGCATGAATTCTGCTCGGACCCTTTTTTTGAGAGCTAAGCAGCTAAGGTCACCATGGGCTTCTCCTCTTTGCTTTCGAACCAGCGCGGTCCAAAGCCACTGAGACGTCCTCCTCATGTGGTCACGAAGGGAAGCCCTCCTTCTGCACGGAATGTTTGCGACAACTGCTCAGTTTCTCAAATGCAAGGTGCGCGCAGTGCACAGAAAGATCAGAAAGACAATTTTGCGGCTACCACAAAGCCAATTCCCCGTATACGAGAAGTGAAGTTGTAATTGTAACCCTAATTACCCAGTTGGATCTAAGTAACAAATAGTCCTAGGGGCTATCTCCATGGATCCAGAGTCTTGATTCAACACAAAACGAATTCGTAGGCAACTCTTCAGTGATCGGAACTATGCTACAGATTTGGTCCCTTGGGAGTTTGCTATTTGAAACTCATTTCGTGCATGGTGACTTGCAATTCCTCTTCTGTTCGACTGCCCTGAAGGTCTTTTACCGGCACCCAATGTTGAGAGCGAAGATGATGTGGATCAAGTGAAGCAAGCACCGCTCCCTGGCGTACTTGGCAGTGCCGTGGCCACTGGTGTGCCGTGTCCTGCTGGCAAAACAGCAAGGCCAGACACCTGCTTCATGACACACCGATATGTCACTTGGAAGCACCCAATCTCAGCAACACTTCGGCGGAATGTTCCGGAGTTTGAAGCTTAACCTTTGTTGACCTTTGTGATCGGTCTTTCCACAACAATATCACGCGTCATACATTTCCAAGTTACTTGATGTTATTTGATGTTATTTAATGTTACTTGAAGTTGATGTTGCTTTTGAATATGCTTAACTGCTTAACTGTTACTTGCCAGTGTGGAGAGTTGTGTTTTCTCAAGGTGAAGCAGGAGATGGCCTACCTGGCACGCCGCATCGATGAAGTAGGGCGATACTTTTTGGCCCTTGAATCGATGCTGGGAAGCTATGGCATGAGCTCAGCAACGCTTTTTTTGTTGAAACATGTTGAAAATAGTGAAAGGACGATCTTCTCCTGGTCATGTCACCATGTACTACAGTTGTAGACGATACATCACATACCGTACGACAGATATTCTCGATGCTTTTCCATACCAAGATACCAGTGACGGTGAAACACGGAGAAACGATATGTCATATTTATGTCCATTGAATCTTTAAAAGGATATGCTGCACAAATCCTGGAACCTTAGCAAAGGAGGCCATAGAGATGAACAATAGACCACAGCAAGTGGGAAAGGTGGGAAGACGGGAAGGGGGTGACTCTCAGTGCAGTGGATATGTCATGATTCAGTCATGATATATGACTTCTTGGGGATGTTCAGCTAAGCCTGAAGGAGTTCTTTCTTGCAGTTACATTAGCGAGATTTAGCGAGCTAAGCAAGCTGAGGTTCTGGAGCCTTGGGGCCTGTGCTGGAGCGATGCCTCAAGGAACTTGAATTCTATTTGCAGGAGCCAGAGAAGTTGGAGGAGAGATGGGGGAGACATGGGGGAGACATGGGGGAGAGATGGGGGAGAGATGGGTAGGAGTGTCAGTGTTGTTTCTTGTCAGTGGTAACAGTTATTGTTGGTAGTAAACTGCTGGGAGGGAGTTAATATAATATAAACTACTGTGCTCGTTTTTGCAGCAGCTTCCTCAAAAGTCGTGTTTCAACTTTTTTGCCATTATTTTGCCATTATATAATAAGAATTAATAAGCCCCTCACCCCAATCGTCATTTTTGCCGCATGTCAGCAGGAAGTTGAGGAAGCGCAGAGTTTCATCGATGCTGCGATCCGACTTGGGTTGAGTCCTGTGAAGTACAAGCCGTTGCAACCAGATCTAACTTATGCTCTGAATGTAATCGTTTATTTTGCCAGTAGGACCTTGCCAGATTTTGGAGAAACTTTGCAACAGGATTCGTTCTGTCTCCCAGCCCGAGCATCATTTTTTGACAAATCCGTCGAGAAATCACGTGTCAAGCAGCCAGGCAAGATCGCTTATCCTGGTTGTGCCATGGCAGACGTCAAGAGGAGCTGAGAGCAGAGTTGGCGAAGGCTTCGTCTGCAGAAGATGCTTTGACCCTTCAGCAACTCATCGATGACTCCCTCAGAAGTGGAATTGCTGCCAGAGAGATGCAGCCAGCGCGCAACTTGAGCCAAAAAAGACGGTCTTCACCGGTTCACCGGTTTGAAGTTTTTTTTTTCCAAAAGTATCTCCGATGCTGGGGTTCTCGTTTAGTTTACGTTGCCGCGGGTGGAGCGAGACGGAAGGGACAACATCATGAACGGAAAGGAAACCGTGGGAAATAGCTTGGGGAGAGCTCCGTTGGGAGGGAGCTAGACGGAAGCGACGATATCATGAACGGAAAGGAAACCGTGGGAAATAGCTTGGGGAGAGGTCCGTTGGGAGGGAGCGAGACGGAAGCGACGACATCATGAACGGAAAGGAAACCGTGGGAAACAGCTTGGGGAGACTTCGTTGGGAGGGACGACGACATCATGAACGGAAAGGAAACCGTGGGAAATAGCTCGGGGAGAGCTCCGTTGGAAGGGAGTGAGACGGAAGCGACGGCAACACGAACGGAAAGGAAGCCGTGGGAAATAGCTCGGGGAGAGCTCTGTTGGGAGGGAGCGAGACGGAAGGGACAACATCATGAACGGAAAGGAAACCGTGGGAAATAGCTTGGGGAGAGCTTTGTTGGGAGGGAGCGACATACTGAGAATGCAGAGCTGTTGGCACGTGTTTTCAGGACAAATTCCATCAATGCGGTTGTCCCGAAAAACTGTGTGCCCAAGACTTTTCAATGTGGATTGCAAACGTTGTGCGATGGGACATGCATAGCTTCGTTGGCAGGGAGCGACGCTGAAAATGCACAGCTGTTGGCACGGGTTTTTTAGGACAAATTTCATCAATACGATTGTTCCGAAAAACTGTGCGCCCAAGACTTGTCAAAGTTTCCAAACCCTGGGCCATGGGACGTGCGTAGCTTCGTTGGCAGGGAGCGAGACTAAAAGAGCAGAGCTGTTGGCACAGATTTTTCAGGACAAATTCCATCAACGCGATTGTCCCGAAAACTGGTGCCAAAGACTTCTCACATGGTCTCTGAACGCTGGGCAAAGAGACATGCATGGGAAAAAGTTCTTTGCTGGAAGTGTTTTCATTTTGCACGGCGTTCTGTCCGTCGATGCTTGGTTTTCGCTCCGTGAGCAGCGAAGCAAAATTAAACAAGAACCAAAGCATAGGATATGCATCAGAGTGAACGGACAGGTGGGAAAATAACTTGGGAAGAGCTCTGCCGGGAAGGAGTGGCACTGAAAATGCGGAGCTGTTGGCACACAAAGCAGCTTTTACACAGAGGAGCTTTACACAGAGGAGCTTTACACAGAGGAGCTTTACACGGAGGATCTTTTGCACAGAGAAGCTTGTACACAGGGAGGACTTTACACACAGAATCTTTTACGCAGAGGAACTTTTACACAGGAAAGGTTTTACACACAGAAGCTTTTACGCAGACAAATCTTTATACAGAGAAGCCTTGACACAGAGAAGCTTGCGCACAAAAAGGCTTTTACACAGAGAAGCCTTTGACACAGAGCAGCTTTTACACAGAGTAGCTTTTACACGGAAAGCTTGTATACACAGAGGCTTTGACACAGAGAAGTCTTTTACACAGAGAAGTCTTTTACACAGAGAAGTCTTTACACAGAGGAGCTTTTACACAGAGAAGCTTGTACACACAGAGGAGCTATTACACACAGACGCTAGTACACAAAGAAACTTTACACAAAGAAACGTTTACACACAGAAACGTTTACACACAGAAGCTTTTACACACAGAAGCTTTTACACAGGAAAGCCTTTACACAGAGAAGCTCTGACAAACAGAGGTTTTACACAAAAAAGCCTTTACACAGAAACTTATACACACAGACGCTTTTACACACAGACGCGTTTACACAGAGGAGTGTTTACACACGGACGCGTTTACGCACAGAAGCCTGAACGCACAGAAGCTTTTACACAGAGAAGTCTTTACACAGAGAAGTCTTGACACAGAGAAGCTTTTACACAGGAAAGCCTTTACACAGAGAAGCTCTGACAAACAGAGGTTTTACACAAAAAAGCCTTTACACAGAAACTTATACACACAGACGCTTTTACACACAGACGCGTTTACACAGAGGAGTGTTTACATACGGACGCGTTTACGCACAGAAGCCTGAACGCACAGAAGCTTTTACACAGAGAAGTCTTTACACAGAGAAGTCTTGACACAGAGAAGCTTGTACACACAGAGGCTTTTACAGAGAGAAGTCTTTTTACACAGAGAAGTCTTTACACAGAGACACAGAGGAGCTTTTACACAGAGAAGTCCTTACACAAAGGAGATTTACACACAGAAACTTCTACACAGCGTAACGCGCAGGATGTTTTACAAATAGAGGCCTTTACGGCGCACAGACACTTTTACACAGAGCAGCTTTTACACACAGAAGCTTTTACACAGAAGCCTTTGCACAGAGAAGCTTTTACACACAGAAGCTTTTGCACAAGGAAGCTTTAAGCCTTTTTCACGGAGAAGTCTTACACAGAGGAGCTTTTACGCACAGACGGGTTTATACAGATAAGTCTTTACACAGGAGTTTTTTACACACAAAAACCGTTTGCGCACAGAGGAGCTTTACACACTACACAGAGAAGCTCTTACACAAAAGCTTTTACACACAGAAGTTTTTACACAAAAACGCCTCTACTCTACACAGAAACTTTTACACACAGAAACTTTTACACAGAATCTTTTACGCAGAAGCTTTTACGCACAGACGCGTTTACACAGAGGAGTGTTTACACACGGACGCGTTTACACACAGAAGCCTTTACGCACACAAGCTTTCACACAGAGTAGCTTTTGCACAGAGAAGCCTTTACACAGAGAAGTCTCAACACAGAGAATCCTGTACACACAGAGGCTTTTACAGAGAGAGTCTTTTATACAGAGATGTCTTGACATAGAGGAGCTTTTACACAGAGAAGTCCTTACGCAAAGGAGATTTACACACAGACATGCTTACACACAGAAGGTTTTACAAATATAGAGGCCTTTACGACGCACAGAAACTTTTACACAGAGCAGCTTTTACACAGAAGCTTTGACGCAAAAAAGCCTTTACACAGAGAAGGTTTTACATACGAAACTTTTACACAGGAAAGCTTTTACACAAAGAGCTTTTTGCACCGAGAAGTCTTACGCACAGGAGCTTTTACGCACAGACGCGTTTACACAGAGAAGTCTGTACACAGAGGAGCTTTTGCACACAGAATCTTGTACACACAGACGCGTTCACACACACAGAAGGTTTTACATTCACAAACAGACAACTTTATGGCGCACACAACTTTTACGTAGAGCAACTTTTACACAGCGAAGCTTGTACACACGGGGAGCTTTTATACACAGAAGCTTTTACACATTTTTTTTTGCACACAGAAGCTTTTACACATAGAAACTTGTACGCGCAGAAGCTTTCACGCACAGAAGCTTTAACACAGAAAACCTTTACACAGAGGAGCTTTTACACACGACGCGTTCACACAGAAACTTTTCCACACAGAAGCCTTTACACAGACTAGTTTTTACACAGAGAAGTCTTTACACAAAGAAGTCTTGACACAGAGGAGCTTCCACACACTCACAGAGGCTTTTACACAGAGAAACCTTGGACACAGAGCAGCATTTTTACAGAGGAGCTTTTACACAGAGGAGCTTTTACACAGAGAAGCTTGTACACTCAGAGGCTTTGACACAGAGTAGTCTTTTACACAGAGAAACTTTTGCGCACAGAAGCTTTTACACAAAAAAACTTAAGACAGAGGAACTTTTACACACAGAAGCTGATACGCAAGGAAACTTCCACAAACAGAAACTTATACACACAGAGGGCGTTTTACACAGAAACTTTGACACACAGAAGCTTTTACACAAAAGAGCCTTTACGCAGAGAAACTTTTACACACAGACACTTTTACCCACAGAAGATTCGACACACAGAAACTTTTACACACAGAACCGTTTACACACAGAAGCTTTTACACACAGAAACTTTTACACAAGGAAGCTTTTACACACAGAAGCTTTTACATACAACAACTTTTACGCAAAGAAACTTTTACACAAAGAAACTTTTACACACAGAATTTGTTGCACAAAACACCTTACACAGAGGAACTTTTACACAAATAAACTTTTACGCGCAGACGTGTTTACACACAGTAGTTTTTATGCATAGAGACTTTTGTGCAGAGGTCTGTGCCCATCTTTCATCATGTCTCATTTTTCATGATCACTCACCATCTGTCATCCTCATGTCTTCGTTTTCATGCTCTTTTGGTACGGTCAGCTCCTGCCGTCGTTTAGTTTTTGTTTCGCACAGTGTTCTGTCCGTCCATGCTTCGTCCTCGCTCCCCCTGCGGCGAAGCAAACTACACGAGAACCCAGGAATAAATAACGACTAGAAAGATGGGATAGAGCTAATTGCAGTAGCAGAAATAGCGGCTAAAAGAATGTAGACGTAGCGGACGCAGCATGCTGTGGTGAGTTGTGGCCCCTGATGCTATCAGCGTGCACGATGTTTCAATAAAGATCTTACATCGATTTCGTGCAGAGCACGGTTGCCCACGCCTAAAAAAAAAACGTGCTGTGCGCTGTCTTGCCTTTGGGTTCTCTGGCCCACCTTGTTTTTTTCCCCGAAGGGTAAGACATGGTAAGGTCACATTGATTCAAAGTGGGAACCGGCACGCTTGTTCAGAAGAGGGCCAGAAAAACAACATGCCTGCTCTAGTCTCCCGCGTTTTTCTATTTTCACAGAGATTTTGTTTCCCCAAGTGAAGCTTCCATGGCTATACGGAGAGCCAGGTCTGCGGTTGCAAGAGCTTGAACAGCAGGACTACAATGAGAGGTTCTTGGCCGCTGCTTGCGCGGGTGATGTGGAGACGGTGGAGGAAACTTTGAGGAAAAGAGGGGACTGCAACTCGCAACAGATGCTTGGCAAACCTTCATGAGGCCAAAAAGATCCAACAAGGAATCAAACAAACTCAAGTGGTCCAAAAGGCTAAAAGGGATGGATACCAAAACTACAAATCATACATCAAGCCAGCCTCTGTCTCAGATGTTTGATGTCAAGAATAAAGTCGAGGTTGGAAATGTTGCAGAAAAGTAGATGGAGGTCCTTGTTTGATCAAAATTTGATCCTTGGTGTGCTTCCCCTGCTTCCCCTTTCAAATTTGCCCAGGAAGTGCTTTCCTGGCTTCTCATTGTGGCACATTGCTGCAGAGAAGGGTGACCTATCCTTGGCAGAGCTGGCGAAATCTTTCAAGTGTAAGACGGTGCCATGGCTTGGGCATGACAGATGCCAAACATTTTTTTACAAATGGAGGTTTTCAAAAGCTGCAGCATTGAAGCAAGCCTTTGTAGGGTTTCCCTGGGATTTCATAGGTTTCCACTGGCCACTGGCACTGGATATTTTTGGATTCCGGTTGGTTCTGGTTGGTCCCGGTTGGTTCTGTTGGTTCCGGTGCCTTGAGGCGTTGCTGGACCATTCTGGCTGGAGTGCCTTGATGTTGGCCTCCGCAAGGCACGACCATCGCTTGGTCCGTGCCCTGCTGGATGCTGGAGCTGATCCCAGCACCAGGACTCGAAGCAAAGCCTGCAAAGCCTAGTGGCCTAGTTACATATTGAGACATGATATATTCTATCAATATTGTCACGTGGCATCCCGGCATCCCCAAGATTCCCTGAGTAGGTCCATGATCGTGATATGCCTTGTGATGCCTACAAATCAAGAATTGTTCTTTGGCTTTGTATTTGGTGCAGCAGAAAATCGTCAGGTTGAGGCTATAGATCTAGACTTCTTTCGACATTTCATCCCTCACACTGTCGCCTTTGGCAAAAAAATGACACTGTGTATTTCATTTCCATGGCAGGAGCTCGAGTTCCGAGATGATTGTGAACTGTGACACGGATGAACAGTTGCAGTCAGTCAAGGGACGCCTGGATGAGACTGGGCGTCGCTCAGCTGAAACTGCCATATGTCAAACTGTCCCAACTTGCAATAACTTTCCCAACAAGCTTTCTTTTATATAAGTATATTTTCTCTCTATGTGCCTAGCAGAAAGGGCATTTGGAAACTTGGCGTGACCATCCGCCCATCCTTAAAATAACTAGGGCTAACTAGGGACTATCAAGATGCATACAGTATACTTGTTGAAGGTACGTCTTGCAAGAGCCCACCCACAGGAATAAAGAGGTTGAATTCTGGATGCATGCAGACCTAAAAAGGATGTGTATAGCCTTCTCCGTGTTTCAAGGCTTCTTTCTCACCTCCCTTCAATCATCCAGGGTATGATTGGGATGTTCAGATTCAGGAAAACCAGGAAAACCAGGTCTGCCTTGTCTGCCTTGAGTTCCTATCTAGACTGCTTTGTGATGTCAGGCATCGGTTGCTTTTTTGAATGGACCAACGCCACCACCGCTGCGACCTTGGATCTTGGGGACCAGCTGCTGGCTGGGGAAGAGCTGCTGTTGCCAACGCTACTTGGATTCACCTAGCTGACCTAGCTGACCTAGTTGACCTCGCGTGTGAAATGAATCGGAACTGGTGCCGGGTTCCTCCGCGGAGCTTGAAACAGCCACGTATTTCTTGATATTTTTTGAATGAATGTGTCGGGCTCTGGGCTCTAAGGTTCCAGAGAGTTGGTGGTCGAACAGCCCTGCACACTGCTCTTTTGCGACCGGGGCATGAAAGCAACAGAATTGCGGTGCTGGATCAGATCCTATCTCACGACATATCTGGGGCTGGTGCCCTCGTGAATGTCCAGGATGACATGGAAAGAAGCCCTCTGTGGTATGCTGTGAAGGCAGGATTTGTTGGATGCGCTCGACATCTCATTCGAGCTGGCGCGCTTGTTTCCATGGGCTCCATGTCTTGTTTGCACTTCGGATTTCAAGGCAACGTTTTTTCCATGTTTTTTTCACTTTTCACAATTGTACATAATTAATAATTTACATATGACTAGACCAGAATCTCCCAAGTTATGAGGATGTTTTCTGCTTTCCAGTGTACTTTGTAACCCAGGCGGGCTGCTGTAATGTTTATTTCTGAAGAAGCAGCTGATGATTCGGTGATGTGCTGTGGCGAAGATATGTGCCGACTACTCCTCCGGAATGGAGCATCTGACTGCATGGAAGAGATAGCAGAAGCAGAGGCTGTTTTGGAAGTTGACCTACGTAGCTGCCACTTGGATAAAGTGGAAGCGCAAAGTGCCCCTGTGACCTGAAAACCTTGTGTTGGATGAAGCGTGCTAGCTTCAATTGAACAACTTTGAATCTGCTCCCTGTTGGACAAGTGTTTTCTCCCTAGGAATCTTTCTGCTGTCAGACTTTTGAACATCCCCCCAAACAAAACTGGAGGACATCATCCAACTATCTCAACTTCCTAGATTTGTGCGGAAAGATTGTACCGACTCGTTGACAGTGTCCAAGGTCAGGGGGCTTTAGAATTGGAAGATGCTCTGGATGCTGATATTACCGCACAAGTTACGTTTTTAGAGTGCAGCCAAGCGCTCCTTGTCCTCTTGGAGACCGGGAAAGGAGATGATTCGAAGACGTGTCCCAAAGATCCGCAGCCTCAGATTCAGTGAAAATATAATGGCATATAATGACTATACAATACTATACATATGAAAATAATACAGACGTACACACACACACACACATATATATATATACATTATGTGTATATATATATATTATATGGGGATCATAGTCATAGTTACATTATATATATACACGTATATCACATATGGGGATTCATAGTCATAATAGTTACATTCTGTATATATATATATTATGGATATATTGAATGCAGAGTGACTCATCGGACCTCCATGGCACGGTATCTGCTTTCTTCAGCGGTGGAGGCTTGAAGATGACTACGATCTGCGCTTGTTGACGCAGCGCCCACAGAGGAGCATTGCCTCAGCGGATGAAGCAGCGGACTTCGCCCGTGAAGTTCGGGAAGAGTTGGAAGTTTCTTGGCGCCATGGTCGACACGGTCCCTTAGAGGGAATGTATCGAAGGTCTAGAGCCGAGTTGATGCCCTGATTGGAAATGGACCCAAAGTCTATGGTAAAGTTGAAGAGTGCTGCCAGGGTGG